CACAGATATTCCGGAATAGTGGGAATTTTTGAATTCTTTAATTTTTTGTATATCAATTCAGTGAGAAAATAAGAGCATAAAATACCATATAGTGTCTAAAGTATGTACGAAATTGTCTCCATGCGACTTAGTTTTAGTTTCCCGTATATTACTAAAATCGGTGGGTACCGCAGACATAATGCATATTAATGTATACAAATCGCTTCTAACGTATATTAATGGCGTCAGAGATATTTCAAAAAAGTTACATTTTTTAATATAAAAACAGGGTAACAATGTTTATGCCGTCTTAAAGATTTATGTTTACGCTACCTTTATAAAAAATAGGGAAAATCTTTGAGAAAATGTTATTCGAACTTCTCTGAAAATGGGCAATTTTCGGTTAATTATGACAGAAACTTTTGAGCTTTTGAGAAAGTTCATCACAAATCATTTGAGGAACTTGTTGCAATGCAACATAGTGTACAAACAGCCCGGAAGGTAAATATAATCTAAGAGAGAGAGAGAGAGTAATATGTCTCTAATTAAAAAATAAAATAATACAGGAAAACTAGGGTTCTGTCATCTTTTACAGCTAATTTAGCACTATGCATAAAAATGTTTTTAAAATCGTTAATAATGTATCGTAAAATTTAGAGACCTTTTAACGATTATTTCCTCAAAAACTGATTCTTTTTTCTTTAAAACTGTATCGTATATATCAAAGATCGTATTTCCGGCAAACTTTGCACTCTAAGAAATTGCAAAAAGTAAACATTGTAAACTACTAATTGAAAGATTAAAAGTTTTGTTTTAAAAAAAATCTGTTTTAAGCCTAGATATTTAAATAGGTCCTTTACAAGTTTAAAAAATAGTAAAATACGAAGAAGAAAAAAAAGTGTAATGCGATGAAAAAAAGAAGTGCATAGAAGAAGAAAGAACGTTTAAAATAATTTCACGCGTCTCATTTTCATCGAAATATCACAAATTTTAAAAATTGCATAAGTTATAGATAATGCATGAAAATACGTGATGCTTTAGAACCACTAGTTCTAATACACAACGTAGCCGGAATCCATATTTTGTGGTTTTGAATACCAAACAAGCTTGTTTTCGAAGTTTGGTCCGTGAGTGCGCGAAACCTCGCAATTTCGAAAATATTTCCTTAAATTTTGGAAAGTTTTACATTTTTCTTACAAATGGCACCAAATATGTTCTTTCAATTACTTGTAATAATTGAGTAAAATGCGCCTATTAAGATGGAAGAGATCAACAGTTTTTTTTCACAAAAGTTTGGAAATTGAAAATGTTTTAAATTTTTTTCGGTGTTTATATGACTTCAATATTAAAGATGAAGATATTTCTTTCTAACAATTACATTTCTATATTTAATTATTTAATTAATATCATGATAAGGTTTTTGAAAACTTTAGTAGTCGCGAAAAATTAAGTGACATATAAGCAATATTGAAAAATATTATAAACAAGATTTTTTCCAAATCTGTTGCAAATTTTTCTTCAATTATATTGAAACAATATTGATTAAAGCACTGTATAGGACGACATGAAGGCAATTTTTCTGAATTTTATAACATTTTTTTGAAAAATTAAAATTTCAAAAGTCACACTAGTTTATATTCACATTTCTGCCAACGTTTATTCATTACTGCTCTTTTAGTACAGGCAATTCAAATGATATCTAATGAAGGACGTCGAACTCGGAACGTTTTTTTGGAAACAAGCTCAACATTTCATATTTTACGAAACGTTCGAGCACTTTTTTACAATAGCAGCCTTACGTTTTTCTTGAAACTTCTTGAACGGTTAGAGCTGTTTTAATTAATATAACCGCCATTTTGTTGAAATATTTTCACTTTTTATAAACACTTAAAAAATATTTTTTCAAATGCATCTCATGTCATTAATATTTATTTTATGTTTTTTTTAATTCATTGTTACATTTGTAACCATCTCTAATGAGACATTTCACGAAATCTCCTGTTTTCCTTAAAAATGAGCTCAAATTGTCTACTGTTGGAAACACTCAGAAGACATTTTTTTGAAAGGGTTTCCAAGTTTTTTTACGTTAATATGAGTAAGTGCATGTTTTATTCTTCTATAATATTTTTAAAGCCATATTCAAATGCTACGAATAGGGATCCGAAAATTGGGAGCATGTGAAAAAATATCTTATAGGTGCCGATGGATGGCAGCTGGGAAAAGTTTGCGAAATAACAGAAAAATCGGCCACACGAAAAATATTTGAAAACTAGTACGAGAAAGCCTGTACCGCACTACTACTTCAATTTTTAGCAAGTTACTTTACAGAAAGTTCTGATAAGAATTTCAATTTTCATCCAAAGTATACATATTGTTTCTTTAAAGTTTTCCTCAAATAATAATACTTAATTTTTTCTTTCACTCGAACTATCTTTTTCACTTAAAATTGCAAATCACGATTAAACTAACTTACTAACACTCCCGCCCTACATTCTACAAACACTTAAAAAAATCTCACTTTTTGTCTCACTCGAGTAATTGCATTTTTATGAGTCTCTACTGTCTATAAATACTAGGCAATGCTGATGTACAGTATATAACGCTAGGAGTAGGCCCCTCGCATGCCTTGCTAGACGTCGCTGTTTCAATCAGCTTGTGACGTCTCTCGTGACATGGGCCGTGTGACAAACACGACACCCACATGCTGATCTATACGTGACCTCGGTTGCAGTGTTGCTGTCAGTAATCTACACGTGGCCTTGGTCTGTGCCATGTTTCTGTCATAGTAATCTTTTTGGATGAAGGAAGCGATATCCAATAATTTTATCGCATCTTGACAAGAAACGTTTTCTGTGTATGTGAATAGCCTCGCAGAAGTGGATTGAGTAGGACAGTAAACAAGTCACATTAATTACAGAAATGACTAGTTAATTAAAAGGTATGACTGTTAATTTCTTGGCTATGTTGAAAAATAGACTAGGGTAAATTTTTACTTCTTTCTTAGAATTGAGTACGTAGTAGAATTATGCTAGTTTTTTTATCAAAAAGCGGTTATGATAATTAAGACTTTACTAATAATGATTCCAATTAAAACACATATTTAAAAAATCTTTATTGTGATAATTCAGTCTTTGTGTCTCGTTTTGTATTTTTAAAACAATATCATTGAACTGCAATTAAAAACAACTCAATGGCTTCTTCATACTGAAGGGTATTAGTGGATTTTATTGCTCTGGGTTAGTTATTCGTCCTAAGAGCAGAATAGCATTTCCTTTGCAAATGAGGAAAAAGAACGGGTGATTGGCGGCGAATTCCACTCTCTCGAACGCACTCAATAGCATCATATTTATACCTGCAAGTAGAAAATACACTTCTGAGAACATGAACAATTACGATCATATTGCCAACTACAAAAGAGGAAAGAAGAATTGTATCTTTAAGATAGATGTAGAGATAAATATCATAAAGGATTTTTCTCTAGTAGCAATATTTCTGCTACATAAACTACTACACTACACTACTATTATACACAAACGCTTGCAATCACTCAATGTTTTCTACAGTACACTGTTTTATCCGGCTACCTTTTTTCCTGTCAGAGGCAGCCTGTCACAAGTTTGACGACAACTCACGCACCTTTTGCGACACGGCTCTAACCGCAAAGAAACTAAAGAAAACCCACGATTAGTTTGAGAGCTTATCATTGATTTCATAATACTGTTATGTCGACTTCACACAACCAGAGGAGCAAAAACCCACTCTTAAACGTAAGCGTTCGTTAGGTATGGTCTGCCTGTCGTCCGTTAAGAACAATCGAAACAAATGAGTTGCAGCTAGATGACAAATGAGAATTCCTACCCCGAGAAAAAATATATTTTATTTTCATTACTTTTTCTTGTAAGACGATGTTATTACGAAAAGAATTGAAACTCTGTTATTAAAACCCCTTAGAGGCTTGGTTGATTATAAATCCCGGGTCACCTAATCTGTTTACGAACTGTAACCGTTTGTATTATAGCTGTTTATCAGTGCAATGATATTAATAACTATTGTGTAACAGCACTGAGCTGAATGTGATCGGATATGACAGGCTTAATACAAGTGTTCATGAAAGTCGTGCAACTATGTACTGAAACAGCCGACGGTAACTCAAGCTATTTTTTCCCTACACAGTAAGTTATTCCAGGGTTCCGTTTTTCATAAACATTTCATTTTAATATATATAATGGGCTGTACAATATACAATATAATAGGCTGTATAATTAGTTGTTTTACTATTATATACATTAGCGGTATGGTTTAATGCATTAAGGGCTACTTTTTCAGTCACAAAATCATTACATAATCTGGGAGCAGTTCCTGCGGTGTCCGGTTAAGAAAGAGTGTACAGAATATCAGTTCAAAGATTGAAAATATCCTTATCAAAAGGGTGAAACGGCGGTCATGTAAAATTCTAATTAAAACCAGGGTTCCGAAAAATTTCGAGGAGTGTTTTGTAGTAAAATTTCTATTCTTAATTCGTTTTAAAGAACGAAACCATTTTGTCGAAGACCAACAGCGCATTCAATATTTTTGACGGTTTGGAAAATATTGCACGGTAATTTCATTCCAGCAATGTGAATACGGTCAATTGAGTACTGTCATTGTATTCGTGAGACGCCGCATTTCTGAAATATAAGTTGTGTAAATTATAAGCACTTTCTGAATTTAATGATTTAGAGACCAAAAAGAACACTAAATAGATTACTCTCGCAATTAGTACGCGGACATTAAAATATAATAAAGTTTTAAATAGTGAACTCCATTTGCATGCACCTCTACAGAAAACTGCTTATAACAAATTTTATTTAATTTTTATTTAAAAAACTGGGTACGTTAACTTATTGACGAAAGATGGATCATCACGCTACCTTGTGATTCAGATAAGCCATTAGGATATTGAAGTGTGTGAGTGAAAAATTAAGTACCGAAACGTGATGGATAGTGCGGACTTGGTTGCATGAGACTTAACACAACTGTACCTGTGGCCACTGCCGCCTCCGTGCCCCGTTCGTCGACGCCGATGAAGGTCTTCTGTACGACTTCGTCCACATAAAGGTTATGTTCGGAGATGCCACTAAGATCTGCGCTTGGGTTGAACAGCTCCGTGATTCCCAGCTGCAAAATAATAGTATTTCTCTACTTACGAAACATTTTGTATTCTAGTTACCTAGTTGTTTTTTTATTAGCCAACTGTACATCTCATTAAGGGAAAGGGCCTCCTGCTCGCGCAGGGAGTTATTAATTAACCACTTCATTAATGAAGTGATAGGATGATGATGAAGGGTGAAGGGACGATCACAAATGCATCCATACCCGAGGCGGAGTTCGAACCCGCGATCCTTTGATCCGAGATTGCCACGACACTACTGCCCTGGTGATCTCGGCTATCCGGATCGACAGTTATCTAGTTTATACAACTTAATCCTGAAGTGGTCAAAATAACCTTTAGTCTGATTGCACTCCTTCTGAGACATAAATTAGTTGATAATTAAAATTTAGTATTTGATAATGTCGAATCTTCTGTAATTAGAGAAATAGAAGCATTTTGTGGAGTATTAAATTTTTATTATCTAAAATTCAATATGGTATGAGATTCTATATGATAAAAAACAAAATGATCACTGCATGAGACTTATTGAATTTTTGCTAATGATGCTTTTCATATAGTACGTGAAGGTGTAATGGTAAGTACGTGGATTCTTGGCTAACCAAGAGATAATACATTCCAGGTATAGTTGTCAACATGTGAAATTTCAATTAAGGGTGTACGATGCGGCGTCTGTCATAAAGCTAAACATATATTGACTTCAGCTGCAAAAGTTTACGTTTTCCTAGTAGGTAATATTCTCTAACTCTACAACTCAGAATTCACGAAATTTTACTCGTATATCCTGAGGTACATGATAGACTACGAGTGTTTTAACGGACACTCTGGCGAAAGCTTTTTGCTAATTGAATGAGATGCAATTGCTTTTTCTTACAATACCTTAGTCAGGTTTTAGAAACAACTTGTTAAGTTTGATACGTACCTCTTTCAATTTTTCCTTCAGATTGTATTTTGATTCAATTCGTATTTTAGGGAGAGACAAAATGACCTCTCCGAAGCCTGGAGTAAGGTTATTCAAGTCTAATTGATCCAACCCAGCTTCCAGCCGCTCTAGGCCGTCCACAGTGTTGGGCAGCAAAATGACCATACTCATCTGGGCGTCTCCTGCCTGATGAAAAAAATATTGTAAGCAAGTTCTATCAAATACAGAATGCTAAATAATTTATTTATCCAGCTGATGTTTCTAATTTATCATATTAGTTCTTAATTAATGTTATCTTGTTTACCTTGACCAGACTGTCAACAAAATACGTCATTTACTCCGATATGCCAGATATGAAATTTATTTGAGCGTTTGCATTCATTGAAATGTGCTCCGAGTCACAAGTACGCACATACACATGCGTATGCAATGGAGGAATGTAAAATAGAAAATTCAACACTCGGTGTTTTAGAATATGGGTTAGAGAATGTATGAGTATCGTTTCCTTGTGTCGTAATATTTTTTTAAGAAACACTCCTAACGCTACATTGGATATTTGCTCAGCAGTAGGTGTGTGAGCTTTGGAAATTTCTACCGTTGACTTCATTCACAAAAAAATCTTCCTGACGCGCTGCAACGGGCATTCGTTTTAGAGCATTTTTAAACTGTGGATGAAGAGTTGAGATTCAAGTGAGTGCAAAGGTAATGGAGGGTAAAATTTAATCAGACAATTTTATTTCAAGATTTGTATTACAAGACTTATTTAAAGTCGTTCAATGTTTCTAGAATACCAGATTATTTGTAACCTATATTGCACTGCGCTGTAATTATTCAAGAATGTTTTCGGAATATCTTTTATGAACACTAAAAAAAAGTTTTTTTTTATAATTGCTAATTCATTCTTCTCGTTCAAAAATTGTTCTTATTATTTAAAAAAAACATGCTCGTAAAGATTACACGAGATTGTCGAAATTAATATTTACATTCGAGGTAGAAACATGGAGAACCCTCCATATTTTCGCCTTTGATTCCAAAATGTATATTCAGAACCGTCTATCTATGCCAGCAGACACGACGTAAAAAGTATCCATTCCGGCTATTAGAATGCAAAACTGTTGATTTTTGCATACCCATTATTGTAAATGGCACTCGAGTAGTTTCCCTCACTATTATCTATTCCTACACGCGCATATGCGGATGCTGAGGCTAAAGTTCTAGCTAACAATCCTTTTAACCAAGACTATGCCAGTTCCGCCTCAGTTGCGACCGCTACCAGAGTCCATCGTACGTGTGTTATTAGAGCAGTAAACAAGAGCAAATACTGTTATAATATGAACTTGAGACAATAAACCGTCCAAACATGAATTATCTGGAAAGAATACGGAAACTCACTTTGTAAGGCAGTCTCACAGCTTTGGCGTCGACTGCAGGCAGCTCCCCGAAGTCGAGCTGGAAAGTACCGTGCATGGTGGGAACATTCACTTGCGAGGTCGGAGTCACGTGGAAAACTGAAGAGTTCGTTTCGGATACATCGAAAGGCTTCCACCAACCGGCTTTGAAGTATATTGCGTTCACAAGCACCAATCGCGTCAATTGAGTGATTGCGCCTGGAAAGAGAAGATCCTAGATAAATTCAACAATTTCTAGTTCTCTCTTTCAGCTTACGAAATTATGTTACTCGTATCCAATAAAAGCAGTACTAAAGAAATCAATGTATATGAAAACTGCGAAAAGGAAACTATTCATAATTATATTTTATGCACAGTCAATTAATTTCGTTATCTCTCTATATTATCCTTTATATTTCACAATTGTGAGCTCCCTCAAAATATTCTAAAAATACATAGACATATTCACCAATGACCGACAACAAATACGCGCTGCCTAGTTATCTGCATTTTCAGACTGCTCCGAATGTACGCATTATTATAAAATTTAAAAGCTCAAATTTAATACAGAATAAATATTTCAAACATTAATAATATCTTAGATGTCGGCGACCCAACTGCAGGAAAGCTCAAGAGCAGTCAGTTCAAGCCAAAACGCACTGACTAGTTGAGGATTGGAAGCGAGGATAGAGGTAGCAGGAGATGGGGAAAGTCTGGAAGGATAGGTGTAGTGGGTGCAGGAGTGAAGGCGAGAGGCGAGAGAGGCGGAGAGTAGCGAGAGGCGAATAGAGGCGAGAGGCGGATAGAGGCGAGAGGCGGAGAGTAGCGAGAGGCGGATAGAGGCGAGAGGCGG